GCAAAAGTGTTCTCGTTTGAAAGGACTAAAATTATATATTTCCAAAACAGAGGTGACTCTTTATGCATCTCTTTATAAATATTCCAATCCGACGTGATACACAGATTTTAATTTGATTTTGTCGACCAATACATATTATTAAATTAACATCAGAAAATCCATAGCGTTTCGCGTAAATATTTAGCCAAAAACCATGAAGTAAAATAATTCCTTGATATTTTAAAATTAAAATTTAAGTTCCAAATTCACAGTACTTTAACAAAGAGTTCAAATCATATATTATGCGGATAACGCATTCCGCAATAACATAGAAGAAGTCAAACTTTCTTATATTATTTTCCCGAAAACTTAGCTCACTTACTCAGTTCACTCTTTGCAATCGCAACAAATTTTTGAAACGTGACTCCTTAAGCACATCTGACAATATTTGATAAAGAAACCTTTTCGCTACCTTAAAGAAAAATGAACATGAAAGATCTCACGATCATAAAATTAAACATCATGTTAACATATCAACAAAGAAGTCATTCTATCTTCAAAACATGCAATTGAAAACCTATCTGAAATATGACATCTCTACATTTATTAGACCTAGGGATTAATGAACTAGGTCAATTTTCGGATGGACAATTATTTAGAACAATAAGATATCAAAATATGTATGGGGGTCCGCGAAATTAAATAAGTTCTTCAAGGGGTCCGCGAAGTAAAAATCGGTGGAAACCGCTGATCTAAACTATAGACTGGACTATATTCTGGAATATGGGTTAGACTATAATCCAGATTATAGACTCGAATATAATAGAATGAACTATAATCTGGATTATAAACATTCTGCAGTCTAGACTGTAGACTGGTCTATAGTCTAAACTATAGAGCGGAAAATAGCCCAGACTATAGACTGAACTAAAATCTAGTCTAAAAACTAAATTAATCAAGACTATAAAATGGACTATATTCCAGATTATGGACTGTACTATAGACTGCACTATGGTTGTATTGTATGTTAATTACTTTTTCATTCTAAATATTTAAATACATTCCTTTTGGCAACGAATACTATCTAATTCTTTACATTCCTTTAGTAACTATGCAGTGACCAAAAACAAACCAAGTAATCATCTTGATAAAATTCTCTTTGACATTTTTTAAGATAAATATTTAATTTTTTTGCTTTTTTGAGTTCATTCTATAGCAAAAAGTAGAAAAGAACAAAACAAAATTTTTTGTAGGAATAGCCCTGTGTTATGATCTAAAAGATTTTCATGCTATAGTTTCAATTCCTTAAAGAAAATCTTAGGGTAGTATGTAGGATACAAAATTGTTTTTCTAGAGTTTAGGAAAAAATATTATTGCTCAGATGAAATTCGAATTAATATAAAAAATTTAAATTTTAAGTGAAAAATTATTTTCTTATAATGAAAAATTTAATTTAGGTAACAAGTCGAGTTTTTTGTGAAAACATAATTTTTTAGTGAAAATTTAATGTTTTGTGAAAAATTTTAAATTTTGGTGAAAATTTTGGAAAAGAATTTAATTTTTAAAGAAAACTTTGTGTTTTATGAAAACACATAATCAGCTTGATTTTATAGAAATTAGAATAAAAGAGAATCTCTAAAATAAATTAAGAAACATTACTGCCTGTGCTAATACATAGCAGTTGGCTGCTGTTGATGTTGTAAAGTTTCTTTGCTTTTGTATACATTATTTTTTCTATATTTTCCCTGCAATTTGTTATTTTTATTCTTGTTGCTATTGCATTTCAACTAGTTGTTGTTGTTGCTGGTGACATTTTTGAGGTCATTCACATGTCGAGGGCGTGTTGTTGAACTTGATTGTTCCATTACTGACATAAAACTACTTGTTTACACTCATAGACACGCTTCATACAAAAACACATACACGTAAATAAACATGTATATTTTATGAATAAAATAATCCTTTTTTATATTTTGCTGTGTTTGTGTTGGGGCTCCTTGTATGTTTTGAATTTCTTTTAACATAAATTTCTTTTATAATTCCTTTCCTGTTCTTAGTTCTAAATGGTTTTATATATAATTTTTTTTACTAATTTGTGGGATTAATTTATCCACTTCCTGTAGGTTTTTATGTTTTTGTAGGAAGTTTTTCTGTTACTCCTTTTTTCTTAGAACTAGTTTCAGTCGTTAATTCAACTAACTAACTAACTAACTAACTAACTAACACTAACTACTACTAACTACTAAACTAACTAACTAACTAACTACTAACTAACTAACTAACTAACTAACTAACTAACTAACTAACTAACTAACTAACTAACTAACTACTAACTAACTAACTACTAACTAACTAACTAACTAACTAACTAACTAACTAACTAACTAACTAACTAACTAACTACTAACTAACTAACTAACTAACTAACTAACTAACTAACTAACTAACTAACGAACTAACTAACTAACTAACTAACTAACTAACTAACTAACTAACTAACTAACTAACTAACTAACTAACTAACTAACTAACTAACTAACTAACTAACTAACTAACTAACTAACTAACTAACTAACTAACTAACTAACTAACTAACTAACTAACTAACTAACTAACTAACTAACTAACTACTAACTAACTAACTAACTAACTAACTAACTAACTAACTAACTAACTAACTAACTAACTAACTAACTAACTAACTACTAACTAACTAACTAACTAACTAACTAACTAACTAACTAACTAACTAACTAACTAACTAACTAACTAACTAACTAACTAACTAACTAACTAACTAACTAACTAACTAACTAACTAACTAACTAACTAACTAACTACTAACTAACTAACTAACTAACTAACTAACTAACTAACTAACTAACTAACTAACTAACTAACTAACTAACTAACTAACTAACTAACTACTAACTAACTAACTAACTAACTAACTAACTAACTAACTAACTAACTAACTAACTAACTAACTAACTAACTAACTAACTAACTAACTAACTAACTAACTACTAACTAACTAACTAACTAACTAACTAACTAACTAACTAACTAACTACTAACTAACTAACTAACTAACTAACTAACTAACTAACTAACTAACTAACTAACTAACTAACTAACTAACTAACTAACTAACTAACTAACTAACTAACTAACTAACTAACTAACTAACTAACTAACTAACTAACTAACTACTAACTAACTAACTAACTAACTAACTAACTAACTACTAACTAACTACTAACTACTAACTAACTAACTACTAACTAACTAACTAACTAACTAACTAACTAACTAACTAACTAACTACTAACTAACTAACTAACTAACTAACTAACTAACTAACTAACTAACTAACTAACTAACTAACTAACTAACTAACTAACTAACTAACTAACTAACTAACTACTAACTACTAACTAACTAACTAACTAACTAACTAACTAACTAACTAACTAACTAACTACTAACTAACTAACTAACTAACTACTAACTAACTAACTAACTACTAACTACTAACTACTAACTAACTAACTAACTAACTAACTAACTAACTAACTAACTAACTAACTACTAACTAACTAACTAACTAACTAACTAACTAACTAACTACTAACTAACTAACTAACTAACTAACTAACTAACTAACTAACTAACTAACTAACTAACTAACTAACTACTAACTAACTAACTAACTAACTAACTAACTAACTAACTAACTAACTAACTAACTAACTACTAACTAACTAACTAACTAACTAACTAACTAACTAACTAACTAACTAACTAACTAACTAACTAACTAACTAACTAACTAACTAACTACTAACTAACTAACTAACTACTAACTACTAACTAACTAACTAACTAACTAACTAACTAACTAACTAACTAACTAACTAACTAACTAACTAACTAACTAACTAACTAACTACTAACTAACTAACTAACTAACTAACTAACTAACTAACTAACTAACTAACTAACTAACTAACTACTAACTAACTAACTAACTAACTAACTAACTAACTAACTAACTAACTAACTAACTAACTACTAACTAACTAACTAACTAACTAACTAACTAACTAACTAACTAACTAACTAACTAACTAACTAACTAACTACTAACTAACTAACTAACTAACTAACTAACTAACTAACTAACTAACTAACTAACTAACTAACTAACTAACTAACTAACTAACTAACTAACTAACTAACTAACTAACTAACTAACTAACTAACTAACTAACTAACTAACTAACTAACTAACTAACTAACTAACTAACTAACTAACTAACTAAACTAACTAACTAACGAACGAACGAACTAACGAACTAACTACGAACTTAACTAACTAACTAACTAACAAACTAACTAACTAACTAACTAACTAACTAACTAACTAACTAACTAACGAACTAACTAACTCACTAACTAACGAACTAACTACTACACTAACTAACTAACTAACTACACTAACTAACTAACAACTAACTAAACTAACTAACGAGACGTTATCAATAACATACTTTTATGGTTCGAAAATAGTTTTTAAAAACCATTGATTTATACTTTTATGCAAAAACTATTCCCAAAAGTACTATATTGGAGCACTGAGCTAGCGGACCGGGTTTAGGCTCGGAAAAGTCGGTTAAGCATATTTGTAACCACTTACTTTTAACCTCGTCTAACATAAAATCATTACTCATTTACCCCAAAAGTAGGTACTTTCACTTTAGTTCAATAGTTACTTTACTGTTGCCGAGTAAGTAATGTTTTCTCAGCGTAACTAACTAACTAATTTAACGCCGATGATGAAAACAATGTGTGATAAGCGGTGTCAGCCTTGCTATGTTAACCTAAATGTTTAACTTTAACCCTTATGTATAAAAATTGTAATTAATCACTGTTTCAATTTAACAACAAACAAAAGAATTTTTTTATAAAATTGTTAAAAAATAAATAAAATTCTTTTTATTATTTAAACATGCACTCACCTTTGACAATATACAGGAACAATACAGCCTTAAAAAGGCTGGTGAAATCCATTTTTTAAAAACGTCACTTTTTTCCATTACATTTTTTCTTTTTTGTTATAAAAAAAGAAGGAAATAATCTATTATTTTGTTATTTTTTATATAGCTAAACTTTATGTTTTTTTTTTTTTTTTTTTTTTTTGTTTAAATCACTGAATGTAAAAAACTCCGGCGATGACAACGAAAAAATTTATATCGATATAAATTGGTCTAGTTTTACACAAATTCACACACAGTATTTCTTTTTTACAAATTTAAAAAAATTTTAAAACAAAAAAAAATGATTAATACTTTTTGTTGTTGCTGTTGTTTTTGTGATTTTCACGCTCTATGACACATGTGTAAAAATATTTATATGTGTGCCTGTGTGATCTTTGATAAGGGTTTTTCCCTTCACTTGTTAAAACAATTTTCACTCAAACCCCTTCAGTTTCCTGTTGGCTGCCTTCAGCAGAGTTAAAGATTTTTCGTTATAAATTTACAATTTCATTAGGATCAGGGTCTTGTTTTGGATTTCGTTGTTGTTTTTGTTGTTGGTTTTTCACGCCAACTGTTGTTTAAACAATTTAGCTGGTTGTTGTTGCTGATTTATATAATTTCTTGTTGTTGTTATTGTTTGTAAAATGTTGTTATTTTTATCTTTGCTTAAGCATCAGTTGCCTTCACCATCATTATCATTGCCAGCGTTGTCATCAACGTCTGTGTCTGTAAAGTGAAAAACAAAACAGAGAGGAGTTATAAATAAAATTATGTGAATTAAGTGAATTTACTTGTAATCATTTGCAAAATATGTGATGAGGATTTTGAAAAAAAAAACATGTTTGAAGATAAAAAGATAATTGAAATGTTCATACATACATATGAGCTTTTCCAAAAAATTTTGGATAAATTTTTAATTTGAAGAAAAATTCCGGATAAAATCTTAATTCATAAATTGAGGCTAGACTATAGACTAGACTATAGACTAGACTATAGACTAGACGATAGACTAGACTATAGACTAGACTATAGACTAGACTATAGACTAGACTATAGACTAGACTATAGACTAGACTATAGACTAGACGATAGACTAGACTATAGACTAGACTATAGACTAGACTATAGACTAGACTATAGACTAGACTATAGACTAGACTATAGACTAGACTATAGACTAGACTATAGACTAGACTATAGACTAGACTATAGACTAGACTATAGACTAGACTATAGACTATACTATAGACTAGACTATAGACTAGACTATAGACTACACTATAGACTAGACTATAGACTAGACTATAGACTAGACTATAGACTATATAGACTAGACTATATACTAGACTATAGACTAGACTATAGACTAGACTATAGACTAGACTATAGACTATACTATAGACTAGACTATAAACTAGACTATAGACTAGACTATAGACTAGACTATAGACTCGACTATAGACTAGACTATAGACTAGACTATAGACTAGACTATAGACTAGACTATAGACTAGACTATAGACTAGACTATAGACTAGACTATAGACTAGACTATAGACTAGACTATAGACTAGACTATACTAGACTATAGACTAGACTATAGACTAGACTAGACTAGACTATAGACTAGACTATAAACTAGACTATAGACTAGACTATAGACTAGACTATAGACTCGACTATAGACTAGACTATAGACTAGACTATAGACTAGACTATAGACTAGACTATAGAGTAGACTATAGACTAGACTATAGAGTAGACTATAGACTAGACTATAGACTAGACTATAGACTAGACTATAGACTAGACTATAGACTAGACTATAGACTAGACTATAGAGTAGACTATAGACTAGACTATAGAGTAGACTATAGACTAGACTATAGACTAGACTATAGACTAGACTATAGACTAGACTATAGACTATACTAGACTAGACTATAGACTAGACTATAGACTAGACTATAGACTAGACATAGACTAGACTACAGACTAGACTATATACTAGACTATAGACTAGACTATAGCTAGACTATAGACTAGACTATAGACTAGACTATAGACTAGACTATAGACTATACTATAGACTAGACTATAGACTAGACTATAGACTAGACTATAGACTAGACTATAGACTAGACTATAGACTAGACTATGGACTAGACTATAGACTAGACTATAGACTAGACTGTAGACTAGACTATAGACTAGACTATAGACTAGACTATAGTCTAACTATAGACTAGACTATAGTCTCGACTATAGACTAGACTATAGTCTAGACTA